GGGGGGGGGGGGGGGGTCCATAAGATTGATTTAATCAATTATTTGAGGTTTCTGAGGTGCGTCCACCCCGTCACTTAACTTGCTAAAGCAAGAGCAACTCCAGCTAGCTAAGGCTAGCTTTCGTGACAAATTGAACAAAAGCCAATAGATCCACACAAACAAACCTGTTAGCTGTGAGGGGGTTGCTGGTGAGACATACCCCGGTCAGAGATGATTTTTTTGAATCCTTGTAGTTCCTGTGAACTGTTTGCGGATAGCAAACGATGAACACACATTATTGTTCAAAGGTATTTTTTTGCGAAAGTCAAAAGTCAAAACATATTTTGCCGGTTTTGTTGTGGAGCACTTTGGGTGGCATTGGACAAGCCAAAAGCCAGAAGCAAGCCAAGAGCCAGAAGCCAAAAGCCAAAAGCAAGAAGCAAGCCAAAAGCCAGAAGCCAAAAGCCAGAAGCCAAAAGCCAAAAGCCAGAAGCCAAAAGCCAGAAGCCAGAAGCCCGAAGCCAAAAAAAAAAAATTGCCCTCCTTTTTTGAATCCAACTCACTGGAGACCCGAGATCGCTCGCGATCTTGCGCCCGTTGTGGCTCCGTGCTGGCGGCGGTAACCGTTGCCGTGCAAGAGGCCCGGTGAAGGTCCAATGAGTGGTGGAAGCCTTAGGGAAGCAGTGCGGCTTAGTTTGCAGGCGCGAAGCCAGCTCCAAGTTCCAAGATTGGACCCTTCAAAAACATCGGAATCAACTGCGTGTTTGTGAAACGACATCCTTTAAATGATTTCTGTGCCACCTAGTCACCTAGTCCAGGATGCTTGCAAACACAACACTGTCAACGGGATTAGAAACAACAAAAATATTGCAACGCTCTCGCAAATTCCAAAACATTCAAGTAAAGAAATCAAAGGGCCCAGTTTGTCAAATTTGCGGAACGCCATGTGAATCTGCAACCCCCGATGACCAGTTGAATGAAACCATCAAAACAAAAGAATGTATAAACGTCTATGGCCCAAACACACGCAAAGCTCTGCAGCTGAGGCACCAAGAAAACCGCGACCAAAGCGCGCTTCGCTGTGCCATGTTTGTTTATCCGCGGAGCCATGGTCGAAGTCTGTTGGAGTGTTTGATATGTTTTCCTTTGTTGCACCCTACACCTCAGTTCGCACCCCGAAAGGCTAAGAATGTTTCGTCCGTATGCATGTATATGTATATACTATCATGTACTTTTTGCCCGAACACCCTCGTGCAAACCAGCGAGAAATTGTGGTTTCATTGGCCAATAAAGTTCGTTGTTTGAAACAGCGCGTGATCGTGCGTGTGTTCATCGTATTTGGTGCGACATTATTGAACTGCAAAATAACTCGCGGGCACACGCCGACGGCGAGCAAGTGCACTTTGTCGTGTGCCCCTTTTTTGGCTGCCCGAATCCCATCGCAAAGCCATCGATCTGCGCAGTCGCTTGCAACATGTATCCCAACCTTCTTGTTCAAATGGTTTGTGCAAAGCCTCATTGAGAACAACACCTCTTTCAGCCCAACAGAAAAAAACCACTGTCGTCATAAATGAAAATCAAAAACGGAAACATATGAAGTTCCTTTTTTCCTAGAAAATGTTCTGAACCTGTTGAAAGAAAAGGCTCTGTCACACACAAGGTCGGTCGAACTCCAACACACACCTTCCTTTGGGATCAATGGCTTCCAGGGTCCCGCTACGACCTGGGCGCCATGAGCGGGGCCACTCCTGAATTTTCGTCAGTGCGTGCAAAGGCATTGCAACGTGCAACGTGCCGTACCATAGGCACACTGCCATGTTCTGTTGCCAAAAAACCATTGAAATTTGGTTTCGTGGTGCTGGTTGGACACTGCTGGCTGATGTCCTTTTGAGCAATGTGGAATGCCACGAGGCATGAGTCTGTTGCACCCTCAACCCAATGCCACTGGTAAGAGTCACAGCAACGGTGATGTCCCACCGCAGTCTAGCAAAAGCAAAGGTGTTGTTGATGGTCATAAATTGAAGTTTTCTTTGCCAGAAGTTCCGTCAATTTGACTCAGCGGCATAAACAGATTGTTGATCTTTTCCCCAAACAGTGTGGGCGCACTGAGGGGTTCTTCGGTAAGCGCTGTTCCGCGCGGGCGTGTCCGGCCAATTCGCTGCTATTTACAGTACATTCATGCCTCTCGACATCATCCATGTGCATTTCGACTGCGCAGGCTCACAAAATCTGCCTGCCGGCCGCGGGCGCTTCTAGCGACTGCGCTCTCGTTGTGGCGCCGTGCACATTTTCGCACATGGTGGTCACTTTTCGTGGCAGGCGCAATGGAAACCTCGTGCTTTGGTGCCCAAAGTCGACTTGTCGTGACAGGTGCAAGGGATCGGAGGGGCTTTACTTCGCTTCGAAGTGCACTTTTCGTGGCAGGTGCAGCACTTTGGACATGGCGGTGATCGTCGAGGAGCTCAGATTTTGTGACAGGTGCAGTGAATCGTGACTTTCGGACATGTGGCTCGTTTGCAGATTTCGTAGCAAGCACTGCACTAGACCCTCGACGCGCAGATTTCGTGGCAGGTGCAGCACTTGGTGAACCTCGTGGCAGGCGCAGCGAAGTGCAGATTTTGTGGCAAGCACACCGCTTTGTGAACCTCCAAGCGCAGATTTCGTGGCAGGCATAGCACTTTGTGAACCTCGAAGTGCAGATTTCGTGGCAGGCACAGCACTTTGTTCTCTCACAGCCCTGCATACTCTACCATCAAGACTTGGCTGCTCGCATGGAATACAGTAATATGGTGATCGCACCCTGTGCCTTGGAAGTGTGCGTAGGGCATGTTTTGGGTGTGCGTTTTTAGACCGTATAGCCTATGCTCACTCTCTCACTTCCTCACTGTCACTCTCACTCTCACTCAGTCACTCACATTCACATTCACACTCACGCTCACTCTCCCTCTCACTCACTCACTCACTCTCTCACTCTCTCACTCTCTCACTCTCTCACTCTCACTCTCACTCTCGCTCTCGCTCTCACTCTCACTCTCACTCTCACCCACTTTCTCACTCACTCTCCCACTCTCACCTTCACTCACTCCGTTGTGCTTTGGATCCCAAACGAGTGGAAACATCTCTGGGATCCCTGCTTCTGGGGGTGGCATGCTTGTGTGTGACAGGCTGATTTGAGAGAGCTTGATGCAGCTCTCAAAAATGCAAGCGTCGCTCCTTGGTTGATTTGACTGGTGCCGAAATCACTGCCATATGGGGCTCTGCCTTCTCGCACTGTGTAAACCTGGTGCAGATCTGGTTCCCGACAAATTTGAGACGCATTGGCAAAGAAGCCTTTTTGCTCTGCAGTCAGGGTCAATAATGGAGGACCCACCATGTCTGTAGTCTGCCGCGATGTATTTTGGCTCAACGATAAGGGAGCTGCTGCACAGGGTGGTGCCTGCCATGCTTGCTGACCATATGTCTGTGTCTACCTCACAGTGGAGCGAAGAAAGGTCAATGGTCACACATTTGATCTTGACCACACTGGCGGGGGAGGAAGCCCAGCTAACAATTGAACTCCAAGAATATGACCGTCTTCAGGAATTTGAAAATGCGGTGCTGGAACAACTTCCCGAACTAGGCACAAGCAGCACCTTTTGTTGCGAGCTGGACTTTGTCTGCCGCAATTCGCAACAGAAGTTGGTCGATCCCATCTGGCAAACCCTGCGGGACTGTAATTGCTTTACGGTCGTCGTGAGCCCCTGTACAGAGAAAGCTGAACATTGCACCCGCAGGCAGACGATCATGACCAGTAGTGACAGGGTCCTGGTGACATGCTTTTGCAGCAACGTGGTTGCCCCTTTTTCTTACCATATCTTTTGGAAGAGGGCCCCCCGCTATAAGCTAGATGCAGTTGTTTTCCTGCAGATGCACTATGCCGTAACGTTTGGCTCACAGCAGGTCGTAGCGCCCTGCATGCAGGAGTGGGGTCAGCCTTAGCTGACGTCACCCTCGTCGCCTTTTCTTTCGCTCGCGCCAGTCAGTGCAACTGCCAACCTTAGCTGGCGGGAGCTGCACTCGTATTTTCGAGCAGAGCAACTCTAATGTCACATGATCCATGGATGGAGGACAGTAATTCGCTGGACCTAACTGATAGTGCGGAAGATAGAGTCCATGTGCCCTTTGCATTCACACGTGACCATGCGGATTGGCTCACAGCAGATGACCAGGCCAACTTTGTCCGGGGTACGGAGGCTAGTGTGACGCAGTCCCAGGAGGATGCTTATGCGGCGATGGCAATGCATGATACCCTCTGCAGTCCTCTCGGCCTTGATTCCGCTCGGCCTACACTCGTGTTGTCTGATGTCCGCGCGCAGCCATCCAAAAAGGACGACGGGTATGCCACTCTGGAAACAGAGGGAGACCTGCCTGATACTACTGCCATTATTCAGACACTCATGTTGCACCGAGACCTTATCATGAGCAATCAAATGATCTATCTAATAGTGGACAATCGAATGCCGACAGATGTCCCGCATTGGCCGGCTTTTGCAGCATGGTGGGCCTCACGTAGGTGCCTAGTGGGTCCCCAAGAAGAGGCAACTGACATACTTTGGGTTTGTGCAGATGCTACTACTGGCCTTCACAAGGTTCCATACTACTGGGCAGGAGTTTTTGTCCTAGAGGCAGCACGTTTCCTGTACCCTGCACAGCACTTCGCACTCATTGACAATGACTGTGTACCAGTCACGCTTTTCGAAGTGCAAGACCTACTGCAGCTGGCGCATCAGCAGCACCAGTGGGTTGACCTAATAGGGGGTGTGCGTTCTGAGTCTAGCTCCTGTGCAGGTATTGGCATGCTGCTCTTCACAGAGGCCCACTTGGAATATAATGCAGGTCTGGTTATTTCGATAGGCAACCGCAGCAAGCACAGTCCACTAGAGTATGACACGACTGCTTCGGCCCTGGCGAAGAGCCTCCAGGAAGGCCGCCTTGCCTTAGTGTCTAGAGCCAGACCACCTATCAATCCGAGCGACACAGCCATAAGTGGCACTATGTTTACCCCTTTTGTTGGGATAGCAATGCAAACCGCCCTTGACCTATGCATGGTCTGGTCCTTGTATGGACTATACATCTGCAAGCACTTTTGGCCTAGCCCCGTCATCAGCCCGGATGAACTTGGTCCTGGCGGTACAATCAAGTGGCCGCGGCAATCCCATCCAAAGGCTCTCACCCCTGAAGGGAGAGAGCGAACTCCGTGGGTCACCAGCTGGGCTCGTGCCACCTTCGAGCAGGGAATACTGTCAGTGCTCCCTATGCTAACAGGGCCATGCACAGTCACGTCATTGCCAGGTGAACACCTCTTCCAAGCCAGTGCGCTGCCACGCAACCGAATGCGACCTGCCATATTTCATGCCTTTGGCAAGGCCAAAGTTGGAGCGCAGGCTGCCTTACGAGAATTGGAGCTGCAGGGTTGGGAAACGCTGCCGATCGCGATACTCGGCATGCCTAATCTGCCCCCAGCATGGGTCATTGAGACTTGGAAACCAGTAGGTGGGTGCAAATTTACAGGCTACTTCTCCGGAGTAGCTGGGAACAGTGCTTTGCGCTTCTGCCTGCTCCTAAAGTGGCGGGCGATTCGTCCGCAAGCGACTGAACTCTTTCCAGCACAACTGCAGGGGGACAGCCTTAGCTGTCTTCCGGCAGAGGACGGTGATGCAGACGTGGAGTCAGTTTCCACGCCCTCGTCTGACACTTCTGCCAGAAGAGCAGATCGACTCACTAAAGCAATCGAACGAGACTCGACGCAGGGTAGTCAGGCACCTGACCCTAGTCCATGCATCCCCTGTCCGCAACGGCTGTCTCCTCCCCTCTTTGTGCCCTGGAGTCAAGTCGCCAAGCTACGAGGGGTTGTTGCAATCCACAAGGACATTGAAGCATGTCCGTATGAGCAACTGCAAGCTGCTCTGGCTCACCCCAAGTGTCTTGTCCCGGGAGAAAAAGAGCAATTTCTACAAGCCAACAATGACTTGCTTTGTCAACTCCAAGGCTCGTTTATGCCCTTGGAAGGTATTGCACCACAAGTGTTTGAAGCCATCTACCAGCGTCAGCAGGGTGAAATTCTATGGGTCACTGTCCTGTGGATGA